GGGTATGTTTGAGGAGGTAAATGGTATGGAGAGAAGGAAGTGTGCAGGAGGAGAATGGGGTAACCTCCTTTGCTTCCTTATTTTGCACACATGAAGTCTCTGCTGGCATTTGAAATTTGCAGTTGTTAACATTTTTAAACTCAAGCACACAAAGTGCAGAGTCAGTTACTTGCTGCTAATCTGAGAACAGCATGTCCACAGTCATGGGCCAGGGGTATATGGAGTTGGCAGGATCAGATTTTCAGGAAGAACTTTTTTCTGCACCCCCTCCACCTCTTTTCCATTGCTTGGGGGGCACCAGATGGGCTCTTCCCACCCAAAGCTGAGCCTCTGGGGGATCTACTTAGGATCCCTAAGCTACTTTGTTTTTGTTTTTTTTTTTTAAGATTTATTTATTTGTACAGAACTGGGGTACAGGCCAGAGATGCGGAGGGTGAGAGGATTCACCAGAGACAGAGTGGGGTGCAGAACGGCAGATCGACGAAGTACACTGCTGAGGGGAGCAGTGGGCGGGTCAGGAGAGGTCTGCCGCGCCATGTGGTCACCTCCGGGGCAGGCAGGGATTGAACTCATGGGGAAGTGGCTTAAGCTTCTTAGTGCTGTGCTTTAACCCGCTGCACCACCTGGGAGGGCCCCTAAGCTACTTTGTTAAGATAAATGCACTCCTTTTCTAACTGAAGAACAGTGAGCTGAAATAACCGCTAGATAACATTTCAAAGAGTAGAAATAAAAGGTTATAAATAAAAACAAATAACTAGCTCCGAAGTCTGACCTTCAAGAGCTCAGTGGAACAGAATGTGAATTATTTACTTAATTACCCACCTCTCTCTGTACTCCCATCCCACCTCTCCTCGCTCCTATTGTCCGACTTTGTCTCCTTGGCTCTGTCTCCCAAGCCTGTGTCTGTTTCATCTACGTGTTTGTTATGCTTTACCTACCACTCCTTTGCCTTTGCCCTTTATCTAGCTTGTTATCACTGAGGACTTGAAGCTAATTTTTCGAATTTGTGTATGTATTAACACTGTATTGACTTCTTTGACCTACAGCAAAAAGTGCCACCAAATGAATTTGCTTTATCCTCAAACTTGTTTCTTGTTAATTGTGATTAAACATAAGGTATACGTGAAATAGAATAGGCTCTTTCCATTTGAACAAAACTTTGGATGAGTTCTTTCACATTGGGTCTTCTGAAAAGGAACAAGCTGAGTGATTTGTTGCAAAAAAAAAAAAAGTTGAGACCAGGAATTAAGCAAGGCATTCTGGGTGCACAATTGCTCTACTCTACGCCACATGACAGGCTTGGTACACTGCTGGGAAATGAGTGAGGCAGTGAAGTGGTATTAAAGACTTGGATCAAATGTCTGTTCTGCCACTTGAAAGATGTAGGACTGAATCACAGTCTCTGTCGCTTTGCTGCAAGCTTTTGACTATCAGGGACCAAAGATCCCCAAACTAGCTTTTTCAAAGGTATAGCATTGTCTGATATCATCATTGACAACAATCCAGACAGCACCCCAGTCCAGTCCTGGAAGTAATCACTTTGCATTTCTGGATACTATGAGTGGCTACCACACACAGCACACTGTACCAAGCCACTGTCATGTGGCTTAGAGTAGGGCAGTTGCTAAAAGTCTCACTTCTGCACCCAGAATGCCTTGCTTAATTCCTGGTCTCAACTTCTTCTTCTTCTTCTTCTTTTTTTTTTTGCAACTTTAACAACTTATTTAATCTCTCTGTGACTCGGTTTCCTCATCTATAAAGTGACAGTAACAATGATGATAATAGTACTTGTAATGGTGACCTTATTTGGAAGTAAGGTTTTTGCAGCTGTAATTACAGGTCTTGAGACTAGATCATTCTGGAATTAGGTGGGCCTTACGCCAATGACAGGTGTCCTGATAAGAGAAAGGAGAAAGAGTTTTAACTCAAACACAGTGGAAAGGGTCACATACAAACCAAGACAAAGTGAAGCAGCCACAAGCCAAGGAATGCCAGGAACCACCAGAAACTGGAAGAAACAAGCAAGACATTTTCTCCAAAGATTATGACTCGTTGACACCTAAATTCTGGATTTGGGGACTCCATAATTGTGAATATATAACTTTCTTTTGTATTAAGTTACGAAGTTTCTGATAATTTGTTGTGGACAACTGATGCAGATGATAACATAGTACAGCTACCTCACATGATTGGGGTGAGGACTAAGTTAGTTGCTTTATTTAAAGTGCTGGGAGTAGAATATGGAACATGGTGAGGGTTCTTTAAGTGTAGCTGTTATGTATTGTTAGCTCATTGAATCTTACCAAGCAACCTATGAAATATGCACTATTATGACTCCTGTTTTGCCCATGAGAAAGTAGAGGCTTTGAGAAATGGAGCAAAGATGAGCTTGTATGATTCTAACTAGAGTTGCCTCTCAGGAGCTTACAGAGTTTGGTTTTCTGATGGATCCTTCTGACTGTTGGTTTGGTGACCCTCAAAATGATGATCTCCCAGCAAAGTTTATTCATTCCTGACTCCTCGAGAGGACCAGAAGGTATACGTGATGGTATTTATCCTGTTGGATGCATTGTCCTAGACCTGGTCTTGGCAGAAACCCATTCCAGAGAGCCAGGCCCTGTCCACCTGTGGCTGTGTGGTTGTCTTACAGCCTGACTTGACTGGGAGCAGCCTCCCTACCTCATGGCAAGAGGCAAGGGTCTGTTCTTTCAAAGGCTGTGCCCCTTGAGGGGCTTCAAAGCCCCAAACGGTTCCTTGTATACACCCCTAAGATATTTAGTAGAGATTATGCAGGAGACTAGAAATGATTCTTTAAAGTAAAGCCCTCCCTGGAACTTGCAAGACCCTATTATCAAGGTCCTCAGCTCCTTCCTTCCCTGCACTTCCTCTTCCATATCACTCTCTTAGCCACACTTTCTCATGGCCAGACATTATCTTTGCATGTGCAGTTCCAGTTGCTCTAAGATTTCTTGCCTAAGATGCTTTCTCCTCACTGCCTTGACTCTTCCTCAACACCACCATATAAGAGAAACCTTTCCTGATAGTCTTATCCTTCCTCTTCTTTCTTTTTCCCCTCCTTAGCACTTATATAACACATTATACATTTTGATTTTCTTATTTTTGTCTTTTACTCCAAACTAGTATATGGACACTGTGAGGATGGAGGGTGTTGATCTAGTTCAAAGCCTAGTTCAGGTTTAGTGCACACTGAATGACTAAGTGAAAGAATGAAGCATAGCTCCTCCCAGTAACAGTGGCAGAGCTCCCAGACTGAAAGAATTGGAACCCTTTGATCACAGTAAGCTGCTTCCCACCGCAGGGCTTTCATGGTTGCTGGTCCCTCTTCCTGGAATGTTCTTACTCCTTGAAGTTGATGTTTTCCCAGTACCCAGGTCTCTGCTCAAGTGCTTCCTTCTCAGCACGACTTTCCCGATTCTCAATCTAATACCCCAATCCTATGCCATTGCTGCAGCAAATCCCTCAATAACATGCCTTGGCTTATCATAATGTACTACTTTTCTGGCTTGTCTATCTCGACAATTAGATGAGAACTTCCAAAGAGCGGGGAGCTTGTTGGTCTAGCTTTTGAAACTAAGACAGTGCCTGACTAGGTCGAGAAGGAAAATAAGATAGCAAAATGGTTATATTTATTGAAACAGAAGTATCAACCTTTTGAACCACTCCTGTGAAGCATTCATCTTCCGTTATGGTGGAAACATTGCTGCCTGTCGGTGCCCCTTAGGAGTAGGTTTGTGACAGTTCATCTAAAGCACATGCTTATTTGGAGCTGTGGTTGCTGACGTCACAGTTTTGAAAACTGCACACAGACAGTGCCCAGGGCATTCTCTTCCATGTTCTAGAGCCCTTGAATCAAACAGGATATTTCTGCCACACCAGTTGTATCAAGATGTTTTGGGTTCAATATATTAAAGACCTGACTCCATGAAGTATAAATCTTATGAGAGGATCAGATCAGGGTCCTGGAGGTTGTATCCCCTCTCTATGAGATGTGGGGGATTTTTGGGGAATTGTAAGCATCTGAGCAAATTAAGGTTATGTTTGGAAGGGTGCAGGGAGGGAAGTGCTGTGTATTAGATCCATTGTTCCTTTGTTTAGATGTAATAGACAGTGGTGTTTGCACATTTTTTACTGCTACATTTTGTACTGTTTCCTCTGATCGGTGAAGACTGGTTCATGACTCTAGAGGCTGATGAGGACCGGAGCCCCACATGTAGGTGTAATCCTTTGGATCCCGCTCAGAAGCTTGAGAACAAGCTCCTATTTCAGTGTGCAGTGGGTGCTGCTGACCAAATTTGGGGAGAGTTTGATATTTGGTCTGTGTGTTCCTAGAGAATGTTTTCATAGAAAGTGGACTGCCAGAATAGAGGGGATGGGCAGCCGTTTCATTTCCTAGTCACCTCTATTATGTGCTCTGTTCTAACCAAGGTGTAACCTTTTACCTTTTATGGAATTTTCCTCTGAGAACAATGTTATGTTCCCTACTGGGTGAAACTAAGAACAAGATAGATAAGATAATATGAATAATGACTTGAAATTGCTATTACCAGTGAAATCCATGTAAGTGTGGCTGAAATGCCGCAGGTGTGTCAAACCTGGAAATGGCAAGGATGGGACTATGATGTTTTTGATTTTTGTTATTTGTTACTTATACCTTCATAGAGCTACATGATGGATAAACAAACCGCCTGTTAGGGATTCTTCCCTCTCTTCATGCCATATCTGGTCTCTTACCTAATTCTGCCCATTCTCTACATCAGACACTAACTCAATCTTGGCCCTCATCATAGTAGAAGCAAATCATTTGGTTTTGAATTATTTCCCAACTACTTTGCAAACAAAGTGGATAAACATTAGCTTTTAAAAAAATCTTTGGTGTTTCCAAATAGCCAGCAAAAACAAAACAAAACAACAAAACAGAAAATAGGGGGAAATCAATGTTTGTTTTTCTAATCGATTTTCTATCCTGCCTTTGGTTTTAGGATCTGGATTGAAGAGATTTTGCTCTAAAAATATATTGGTCATCCTTGGCTTCACTTTTATCATGGCTGTGATTGCTTTAATTACTGTGGGACTGACCCAGAACAGACCATTGCCAGAAAATCTTAAGGTAATTCCAATCCATGTGTATGCCCATTTGTGCATTTGTTTCTATGAGGGGACTTGGTCTGGGTGGAAGAAAAGCAAGTAAAATTCCTGACAATCCAGGTGCAAGTCAAAAATCCATTGGATTAGCTGTGTGAAAATGCAAACAAATTCTCATTCTGGAGGAAGGAAGGCCTTGAATCAGTAGTTGGTGGGAAGATAATTTCTTTTATCATTCAGCAAATTAATTAAATCAGTACTCCAACAGAGATAAGTGCTTTATTTCCTACATCAGATCTGTGCTCTACTGTGGTGATATTCTACAATCTAGTACTATCAATTTTTGATTAAAGATCTAGAATTTATTTGTATTGTTTTTTAATTGAGGGAAATTCATTTACAACACTTTGCGTGATTCAGAGGCACAAGATCACACCTCTTCAGCTGCATGTTACCACATCACACCCACCACCAAGATCCATAATCCTCCGCCACAGTCTTTGGGTCTCTTCCCCCCTTTATTCTCTACTCTCACTCTCTACCTTTGGTGGCCTCAATTCTGTAGTCACCCACACTCCACACTGTTTTTTAAAATATATATTTATTTATGCATACAGAACTGGGGTACAGCCAGAGGTGCAGGGGCGGCGAGAGGATTCACAGGCAGATAGATAAAGTACATTGCTGAGGGGAGCAGCAGGCGAGACAGGAGAGGTCTGCCGCACCATGTGGGTCAGCTCCCTGGGTGGGGATTGAACTTGCAACTGAGGCAGCTGTGGCTGGGGCTAGCTTCATAGTGCTGCGCTTTAACCCTGTTATGCCACCAAGAAGGATCACTGTTTTCTTGTTTTTTAATATTCTCTGGGTGTAATTAATATGACATTTGTCTTTGTGAGTGAAATCAGCTAGTATTGTCTTTCTTTTTTCTCGCTTATTTCAGTTATATTATCCCCGCTAGCTCTATATATGTTGTCCCAAATGTCAAGAGCTCATCTTCTTTGGTTGCTGAGTGGTGTTCCATTGTGTACACACTGCATCTTCTTAATCTACTCCTCCGTCCTTACACACGTAGGTTGTTTCCATAGCACAGCTGTTGTAAATACTGCTGCAAAGGGTTCAGGAGTGCACGCATTCCTTTGAATTTGTGTTTTTGCATTCTTTGGGTAGATATCAGGAGTGAAATTAGTTGTGAATCATAGAGTAGATCTATTTGTCATATTTTGAGGAACTTCTATACTATTTTTGGGAAGGGCTGGACCAACCTACATTCCCATCAACAGTGTAAGAGGGAAAATAGACCAATTATAAGCAAGGAAATTGACACAGGAATCAAAAATCTCCCAAAAAAACAAAAACCCAACACATGTCTTTTGCAGCAACTTGGATGGAGCTGGAAAAGATCATGCTTAGTGAGATAAGCCAGAAAGAGAAAGAAAAATACCGGATGGTTTCGCTAATAGCAGGAGTATAATGGACCAGGCGAGAAAATAATAAGAATAATGAACAGCCATATACCAGAGACATTTTTTGGGGGGGGAGTGGGGAATGGGATCAAAAACATGTGTGTGTGGGGGGAGGGAAGTGCACGGGACTGTAGTGATGGCACACGGGTGACTCGGTGATGGGAAACCCACAGGGATTACAATTGAGATGAAAAAAAAAATGTACAAAATGATGTAAAAATAAACTGTTATATTATTATTAAAAAAAAAAAGGGCAAGATTGTTTCACTCGTGTGTTCAACAAACCTTGAAAGATTGAAATGATATTCTACCCTTTTCAAACTTAAAAAAAATTGAGGAAGATGGGGTGTTGTCAAACATACATTATGAGGCCAACAGTACTCTGATATTACAAGCAGACAATGACACTACAAAAACAAAAACTACGAAACACCCCAGATAACACAGTTGCAAAATCCAGGAAACAGAAACTTGCATCAGATACAACAATTTGAATTTAATTTGTAGGTGGGCAGATTCCTTCTGAAATTTTCACACTTGAAGATGTAGTTAATGTCATTAACAATAATTAGGGTCATTAACTATTTTGATTTATTTTTGCTTCCTTTCTTGTTCATCAAAGTAAAAAGACAAAGACACAGTTATCTCACATGTAACTTGTACTATGTTCATTATTTTATTTAATATGCTAATTTAAAGGTATATAATATATTTACATTTATATTGTAATACATTATTTTAAACTTTCCTTGATGTGACAGTAAATAAATCTAAGAAGACAAATATAATTAATATGCTAACAATCACATATATACATTTAGATAATGACATATCTAGAAGTTATCTTTACCATGGAGATCTTGAAATAAATGTGCAGAAATAAATCCTCTTGCATTTAAGGATATTGAGCTGTGAACCTGGGAAGATAAATGGATATGCCAGGCTTCTGCCAACATTTGCCATTCACCTAATCACTTGTTATATAGCAGAGGCCTAGATGTTACATTGGCATTATTTTGCCCCACAAATTCAGTCCGGTGGAATCGTACACAGCAACCCTTTGTCTGTATGAAAGGCTGATGCTATCTCATTGTCAATGGTATCTTTCCTTTTCTGTTAAGAATGATGTCGACTCTCTTGGCAAAACTTCACTCACAGTTGAAGCCTCATTACATTTCAGTTCTGCCATTTGTTTACCAGCTCCAAAAGCACATGATTGATTTCTTGATTTGACCTTTTTACATGTTTATTATTGCATCATTGGAGAAGGGGACTTCTTAGGAAGCAAATCCATGACAGACTTGGGCTCTGTGTTCCCATGAATATTTGTGGTCATGGATGACCTTCCCTTACTGGCAGGAATTGTCCTGAAGTCTTTTGTAATTTTGTCTTGTTGTGTTGGCCTGGCAAAATAAAACATTTTTTAAATAAGTAGTAATCGTATTTGGATCATAGACATTGGCATCAGAAGTGAGTCTTCACAGCAATATCATGAATTTATTTTACAAAAGATCATTTTATATATGCAAACTGGCATGTGTTGAATATACACACTAATTTTAGTAAGATTATATAGTGAGGGCAAAAATGTTTTCTTTGGTGATGATTTTAAGTTATGCTGTTTAGTTTCATAACCACTAGCTAAAAGCAATTTCTTTCTGAAAAATTTGACTTAAATATAGACACTTATTTGATATTTTGTATCTGATACATTTGTTTTAAAAAACATATGATGTCATCACATATGACCATATATCACTGAGCAATTCTTCACTCTTTTTTTCATAAATCTGCATCAACACTTCTGGCTGCAATGAATTTGAGGGAGGTAAGAGCAGAAGATGAAGGAACTATGTAAGAAAGAGGCTTTTATAGAAGTTTGGAAAGAAAAGATTTTGAGTTAAATTTTGAAGAATTTTGTCAGGGTAACATTGATTTACAGCACTGAGGAGGTACAGGTTCCGCTGCCTCAGATGCAGCTCGCTACCAACGCCCCATAATCCTTCACCACACAGCACTAGGCTCCTCCCCTTCCGGGATCTTCAGCTTTACAGGCAGGTTTATAGCGGTTATTTTTGGTTGGTTTTATTGAACTTTTTGTTTTGTTTCTCTATCCCTGCTCCCCACGGGGTGCTCGCCTTTCATTTCTGATTTCCTTTCCTTAGCGTAACCCCTCCAGTTCAACCCATGTTGTCACAATGGCAAGAGTTCACCTTTTTTCCGTAAATACTTGCAGAATATTCATTTGTGTACGCTTGTCAAACCTTTTTAATCCACTGCTGTATCAGTGGACACTTCAGTTGTTTGAAGGATTGCTTTGAGGCTTTGAATATGGCAACAAAGCAGCTGGATAATCAGCTCTGGATCACAGCAAAGAGAGGTGTAGACCGTCACTGTCCCGCACACATACAATGTCAGCTACGTTTTAATTTTTCTAAGAGCCACATTAAAAATTAGAAGCAAAGAGGTCAAATTAATGCAAATATATATTATATAATCCAATATATTCTAATATCTTTTCAACATTTTATCAAAGTAATTTTTAAATAGCTACATTCTTTTTTTCAAATGACTTCAAGTTCCACTGTGATTTTGAATTTAAAGTACATCTTAATTCAGACTAACCACATTTCAGGTGCTTAATAACTAATGACTAGTGGCTACCTTATTGCTTAGCGCAGATCTGGAATACAGATTGGTCTCTGATGTCACTGATGTATTGAAATCCTAGAAATATATGATGCCATAGGAAGAATGTCAGAATAAGAAGAGGTGAGGATCAAATTCTGAGGAATTCTCATTTAAACATGGACTAGTAAAGGAATTTCTCCATAGTACAGTGATAATTCTACTTTGTACAGAGCTTTGCAGCTTATACATCATTTACATTTTTCCTTTCCAGGAGTTCCGTGAGGAAAGATTATCTTCATTGTATAGGCAGAATAGAGCTTTTGAGGTTTTCTTGCCCAAGGTGAAGATGGAACTATCTGACCAAAAGTTGGATGAGCTTTTAATTTTAGTTTTCCCAAACAACACATCCTCACAATGAGCTGAATGATGGATGTTCCTTTTGATCCCAAGGTAACAGGGAAAGAGGGAAAGCTCCAGAGACCATGTGATGGGTGCGTAGCCACAGTGAGCCTCCGAAGCTTGCAATCTCTGGGGCCCCAAAGAGCTGCGGAGAAAGCACTTTGGAGTCACCTGCCCCGATTTTGCCCATGGTTCTCATCCCCTGTTGGTCAAGGGTTGCCTCACTGGGTATTGACTTCCTGGTACTTACGTGGGTCAGAAGGCCTATGTGGGTTCTGTGGAAACCTACTAGTCAGTGGGAGGAAACCCCTGGATGAGAAGATACACCTGGGAAGGGAGTTAAGAGTAGATCAAGAAGCCGTGAGGTCACCACACAGATCTGAAGCATCTTTGTGTCTATTTTTGTGGGGGAAAGTCATTTCAGTGCAAAAGAGACATGTTAATATAGACATAATCACACAGTACTAGGGAAGCCCAGGGAAAGGAGCCAACAATTGCTCCTGGTCACATGAAAAGTCTTCACAGAACAGAG